GAATATTTTCATAGGCATGTGTGAGTTGACTTTCATGGCGGCGTGGTTAGAAGTGAATAGTTTCATAGACATGTGTGAGTTGACTTTCATGGCAGCGAGGTTAGAAGTGAATAGTTTCATAGACATGTGTGAGTTGACTTCATGATAGTTTGGTTAGAAGTGAATAGTTTCATAGACATGTGTGAGTTGACTTTCATGATAGCGTAGTTAGAAGTGAATAGTTTCAAAGACAAGTGTGAGTTGACTTTCATGACAGCGTGGTTAGAAGTGAATAGTTTCTTAGACATGTGTGAGTTGACTTTCATGATAGTTTGGTTAGAAGTGAATAGTTTCATAGACATGTGTGAGTTGACTTTCATGATAGCGTAGTTAGAAGTGAATAGTTTCTTAGACAAGTGTGAGTTGACTTTCATGACAGCGTGGTTAGAAGTGAATAGTTTCTTAGACATGTGTGAGTTGACTTTCATGATAGCGTGGTTGGAAGTGAATAGTTTCATAGACATGTGTGAGTTGACTTTCATGATAGCGTAGTTAGAAGTGAATAGTTTCTTAGACAAGTGTGAGTTGACTTTCATGACAGCGTGGTTAGAAGTAAATAGTTTCATAGACATGTGTGAGTTGACTTCATGATAGCGTGGTTAGAAGTGAATAGTTTCATAGACATGTGTGAGTTGACTTTCATGATAGGGTGGTTAGAAGTGAATAGTTTCATAGACATGTGTGAGTTGACTTTCATGATAGCGTGGTTAGAAGTGAATAGTTTCATAGGCATGTGTGAGTTGACTTTCATGACAGCGTGGTTAGAAGTGAATAGTTTCATAGACATGTGTGAGTTGACTTTCATGACAGCGTGGTTAGAAGTGAATAGTTTCAAAGACAAGTGTGAGTTGACTTTCATGATAGCGTGGTTAGAAGTGAATAGTTTCATAGACATGTGTGAGTTGACTTTCATGACAGCGTGGTTAGAAGTGAATAGTTTCATAGGCATGTGTGAGTTGACTTTCATGACAGCGTGGTTAGAAGTGAATAGTTTCATAGGCATATGTGAGTTGACTTTCATGAAAGCATGTTTAGAAGTGTGTATGTTAGGAAGTATCATCATCAATTGATCTCATCCTCAAGAGTACAGGGTGGAATTCTCTGGTTGGGATCCTTGTGAACAGGACAGATGCATTTCGATCTGCATCTCCGTCTGTACATTCTTGGTTTCCAGAGCAGAACTCCTAAGCTGTTAAGTATCTCTTGTTATCCCCGCCATGAGGTGGGGCGGGGGATATAGGAACGGAATTCGTCCGTCCATCTGTCCGTCCCTCAGCTTCTCAAAGGGTACAAATTTTCTCAAAAGCTATTTAAGTTAGACAAATGAAATTTTACACACTGATGTTACTGGTCATCATCTTAAATGAGTTCAAAAATTGCTTCCGTTAATTATTTCTTTTATAGAGTTATGGCCCTTGCTTCTTGCTTTTCAACTTTGTGCATAGTATGTGCAATGACAAGTTTTCTTAGAAACTACAGAAGTTGCATGACTGAAAGTTTGCATGCTTTCTAATAGATACTTGACACTGAGTTTGAAAATTGGTCCTGTAAAATATTTTTTTTACAGAGTTATGACACTTGCTCCGTGTTTTTTTAACTTAGGGCATACTGTGTGAAATGGGGTCAACTTTTTTTCAGAAATTACTGAAGTTACATGAATGAAAGTTTGCATGCCTACCTGAGAGACACTTGTCAAGAGTTCGAAAATAGTCCCGTAAATTACTGGTTTACAGAGTTAAGGCCCTTGATCCATGTTATTTACAAAGTGCATAGTGTGTGCAATGGGGACAAGTTTTCTCAGAAACTACTGATGTTAGCTATCTAAGAGATTCTTATCAAGATTGATGTTTTTTTTCGAGATGGGGCCTTTATTGTGCACTAATTTCATATTTAATCATTTATTCTGATGCCATGAGTGATCTCTTTGTAAGGCTTTATTGGACCCTTTTTTATAGTTTATGTTCAATACTGTATCAACAAACACAATTCTAATGTGCCCCATGGCGGGGGATAGTGATAACGCTGTCTTCTTGTCATGGTTGACATTAACTTACATGTTATTCACTAAGATATGGAGAAACAAAATTCTAATGTGCCCCAGGGGAGGTCTGGTAGCCTAGTGGTTAAAACCTTTGCTCATCATGCTGAAGACCCAGGTTCGATTCCCGACGTGGTACAATGTGTGAAGCCCATTTCTGGTGTCCCCCGCCATGATATTGCTGGAATATTGCTAAACGTGGTGTAAAACCATACTCACTCACTCATCCCCTGATAACTCCTGTAGTAAATGTAAGGTATAGATGTGAAATAGACTTTGGAGATTTTATTCCGGATGAATATTTTCTTGATAAGTATCCTTCTTTGCTCAATCCCAATTTTGAAACAAACATGCTATTTCCTTGGTGAAAGGTGTACAACATTTCATATATATTTATCAGAACAAGTTCAAGTTTAGTTATGCAATCTTGGCTGATTGAGATCTCAGAAACATACGACGCCATCCATTGTATCAGGACTTCATCACCATTCATGTCTGTCTCACAGCTGTGAGAGTTCCCATATGTACAGTAAACTATGGTTATAACAAACTCATTGGGATCACTCATTTCAGTTTGTCAAAATCGAAGTTCATGATAGGTGAGGTGAAATTGGGTTTAACGTCGCGTCCAAGATTATTGCACTAATATAGCGACGTGCATGCACCTGTATGTGTGTGTGTGGCTGCTTTTACTAGTCCGGACTGATGCCGATTTATAGTGCTAGCTCACTGAGATACCATGCCGCAGTTTAACATGTATACCCCACTCAGACACAGTATACTGACTCCGAGCCGACCAGTCCTTGCTTTAGCCCCTTAATGCCGAGCGCCAGACTGGGTAACAACAAGTACCATCTTTTAACTTCTTTTTGTATGACGCGGCCGGGGATCGAACCCTGGACCTTCCGCTCTCGGGGTGGACGCTCTACCTCTAGACCACGGAGGCGGACTAGTTCATTATAAGCATATATACAGCACATATACAGCAAATGGCCGGGACCAAAAGTTTTTGTTATAGCTGTCAGTTTGTTGTAAGCATGTTTGTTATAAACGTTGTTTACGGTATATATGTAGATATACCAGTGGTGTATGGTGGTGAGTTGTGTATTGTCAAGTACAGTTAGTCAAGTACAGGGATAATTGATGTAGAATGATTGTGATAATAACTGAAGCATGGACACTTTATGTCACATAGTACAGTCATCACTGGTGTCGCGGAACTTGTATGTGTGAGCCTGACAAGCGTGACGCCTTTGTACAGGTCAACAATTATCTAAACTGTTGTCGCACAGAGAAAGAAATTGTTTTTGGGCTTCCAACATCATTATGAAGATCAATATAGCTGTGCAACATGTAAATAAGTACTCAAAATCATTCGACCTCATTTCACATTCATGATGTGATGTTTTGGTAAATGGTTGCCATGCCCCTCCACAATTGAATTCACAAGTGAGGACTACAATTCTTGTGCATGGTAGGAGGGACCATTGATAGTGGAGGCAATGGAATTTAGGGGGTGGTGTTGCATCCCTAGGATTGAAAAAATAATGATTTGTTCACAAATTTCCCTCAGGGCTTAGCTTGCAGTAAAAGGCGACTATGCTTGCAGTAAAAGGCGACTATGCTTGCCGTAAAAGGCGACTGTGCTTGCCGTGAAAGGCGACTAGGCTTGCCATAAAAGGCGACTATGCTTGCTGTAAAAGGCGACTATGCTTGCTGTAAAAAGTGACAATGCTTGCCGTAAAAGGTGACTATGCTTGCCATAAGAGGATACACATGGGATCAGGTGGTCAGGCTCGCTGACTTGGTTGATGCATGTCATCGTATCCCAATTGCATAGATCAATGTTCATGATGTCAGTCCCTAGATTGGGTAGTCCATACTTGATTATTTACTGTCCGCAGTGATGTGGCTGGAATATTACTGAGTGCGTGGTGATGCAACAAATAAACTCGAACAACAATCGCAGGGCCCTCCATTCTCTTCTGTGTTCCCTTGTGCCTAACTTGGTGTGTAGACTGTCCAATCTTTCACACAATTCTGTTGAATTTGTCTCACGTGGGGGAGAGTAAAGTGTGAGATCATTTGGGGTTTCAAAGTTGTTATTGCGAAGTGAACAAGAAAATAGTTGTTGATATCAATACGAAAGTTTCCAATCAATGACATCTGGGGCCCTACGTAGCATCATATGAAGTTTGTGTCACTTTTCAGGTCTGATCTTATGACAACAGGATTTTTCGTGTGTATATTATCAAAAGATTGTCAAGACTGCTGGGATTTTGTTTCAGATATATTTCCAAACTTACTTTTGAAACCCACCAACCCAAACTTTGTGACATCACATAGCGTCAAGCTGTGGTACAGTGGAGATATGTTTTAGAGCCTTTGTACCACAAATTAGTTAATATTTCTTTAGGATTAATTAGTTATATTGGTGAGTGATTATATGCAGACAGAGTTGGCTCCTTAATGTTTCTGAAAATATTGCGCTGAAGTTTCATGAATTGTCCATTTTTGAAGTGGTGGTATAAAAGCACCCACCTGACGTCTTTACTCGACATCAACAGATGGCCTCAGAATGACTCAAGGGAGGTAACTGTTGAGAAGGTCTTTACTCGACATCAACAGATGGCCTCAGAATGACTCAAGGGAGGTAACTGTTGAGAGGACTGATAATTATCTCCCTCGGCACAGAAGGGCTGAAGTTGGTGTATCTACCAGATAGTTTCATGTTTTTCAAAGTTTACAAAAATCTTGTTAGACCTCAATAAGTAACCCATTTGTTCTGACTGACGCTCTGATCCGGTGGGGAGGGAATGCTGCCTGGGATGTTTTTGAAAAACATAATTTGTTCCAGAATAAACTTGAAAGAAATTATTTGATTTCAGTTTCACCTCAGTAAAGGATGTGCTTGTGTTTGCAGGTGCGGATTCTCAATCACATCACCTGGAAGAAGGTGGCGGAGTTCTCCCATCCCTCCACAGTCGAGAACAACAATGTTGTAAGTCGGTGCTTTTCATAGACTTCAACACACTACTCCATCCTGTATCATCAGACTTATGTACCCTGTACCATCAGGCTAATTCACCCTGTACCATCAGACTAATGCACCCTGTACCATCATCAGAGTAATGAACCCTGTACCATCAGACTTATGCACCCTGTACCATCAGACTAATGCACCCTGTACCATCAGACTAATGCACCCTGTACCATCAGACTTATGCACCCTGTACCATCAGACTGATTCACCCTGTACCATCAGACTAATGCACCCTGTACCATCAGACTAATGCACCATGTACTATCATACTAATGCACTATGTACCATCATACTAATGCACCTTGTACCATCAGACTAATGCACCCTGTACCATCAGACTTATGCACCCTGTACCATCAGGCTAATGCACCCTGTACCATCAGACTAATGCACCCTGTACCATCAGACTAATGCACCCTGTACCATCAGACTAATGCACCCTGTACCATCAGACTAATGCACCCTGTACCATCAGACTAATTCACCCTGTACCATCAGGCTAATGCACCCTGTACCATCAGACTAATGCACCCTGTACCATCAGACTAATGCACCCTGTACCATCAGACTAATGCACCCTGTACCATCAGACTAATGCACCCTGTACCATCAGACTAATGCACCCTGTACCATCAGGCTAATGCACCCTGTACCATCAGACTAATGCACCCTGTACCATCAGACTAATGCACCTTGTACCGTCAGACTAATGCACCTTGTACCGTCAGACTAGTGCACCTTGTACCATCAGACTAATGCACCCTGTACCATCAGGCTTATGCACCCTGTACCATCAGACTAATGCACCCTGTACCATCAGGCTAATGCAACCTGTACCATCAGGCTAATGCACCCTGTACCATCAGGCTAATGCACCCTGTACCATCAGACTAATTCACCCTGTACCATCAGACTAATGCACCATGTACCATCAGACTAATGCACCCTGTACCATCAGACTAATGCACCCTGTACCATCAGGCTAATGCACCCTGTACCATCAGACTAATGCACCCTGTACCATCAGACTAATGCACCCTGTACCATCAGACTAATGCACCCTGTACCATCAGACTAATGCACCCTGTACCATCAGACTAATGCACCCTGTACCATCAGACTAATGCACCCTGTACCATCAGACTAATGCATCCTGTATCATCAGACTAATGCATCCTGTACCATCAGACTAATGCACCCTGTACCATCAGAGTAATGCACCCTGTACCATCAGACTAATGCACCCTGTACCATCAGACTAATGCACCCTTTACCATCAGACTAATGCACCCTGTACCATCAGACTAATGCACCCTGTACCATCAGACTAATGCACCCTGTACCTTCAGACTCATGTTTGCTTGATACGTGTTGAGTTTGTATGTACAAAAGTAGCAGAGTGTGATTTCGCTGATGTATTTACAGGTCGTGTATAAAGAGGTTGAGACGCGGGCTCCCATTCCATCAGCAGAGTTACCCGCCCCTACTACAACACTGTTCACCGCACAGAGTAAATGTGAGTCTGGCGTGACCCCCTGCTCATCAAATGGAAGCACATTGACAACAGTTTCTTCCGGCCCCCATGACAAATACTTGTGTTCAGGTCATATGCCTTGCAGAAGTTGTGTAACATGGAGTTCAACACCTTAATTCATTCAATTCTCTAAAATACTCTCGAGCTCCATGCACAGATGATGCTAGACTGCCAATGTTGTGTTAATAATACTTCACACTTATCAAGTGTAAAATCATGAAAAACAACAATTTTTGTTGGTGTTTCTTGTTAAAGAGGCACCGTAGTATCACTATTGGTGCCAAAGTGGTTCCAGTCAGGAATTGGCTTTTTTTGAAGCAAGTCAACACAGAACCAAGCAGACCCGTGAAGATCCGGGGTAGAATAGGTCTTCAGCAACCTATACTTGCTGTAAAAGGTGACTATGCTTGTCGTAAGAGGCGACTAACGGAATCGGGTGGCCAGACCCGCTGACTTAGTTGATACATGTCATCATATCTCAATTGTCTGGTCTAGACTTGAGAATTTATACAGACCGCCGTCATATAGCTAGAATATTGCTGAGTGTGGTGTTAAACAACAAACAAATGAAATCACATCACAGTTCACCAGTCTAAACTCATGAAAACCGGCAATTTTTGTTGGTGTTTCTTGTTAAAGAGGCTCCGTAGTATCACCATTGGCTCCAAAGTGGTTCTGGTCATGAAGTTGGCTCCTTTTGAAGCAAGTCAACACAGCAGGTAGTAGAGAGTGCCCTGTATGTATTTCTGTGGTTTCATTTCCAGACGATGTTGAGGCAACACCAGCCAAACTACCTGTTGTGAAACCAGCCTCCAACAAGGCCAACCCCAAGCTGGGTGTGGGAACGGTGGCGTTCAGTCATGACTGTAAATACATGTATACCAAAAATGGTAAGTTCCCTTATCAAAAGTGTCAAGTCCCTGTGGGTTGCCTCATTAGAATTGGTCCCCAGCAACCTGAGCTGTTTGTAGGAGGTGACATCATGGAGCAAGTGGTCTGGTTCAGGGACCAGGTTGATTGGGTGGCATCATACTCCGACAGCATGGATTGATGCTCACAGGGGCGGTCGGGTAGCCTAGTAGTTGAAGCGTTCGCTTGTCACGCTGAAGACCAGGGTTCGATTCCCGACATGGGTACAATGTGTGAAGCCCAATTCTGGTGTCCCCTGCCGTGATATTGCTGGAATTGCTAAAAGCGGCGTAAAACCATACTCACTCACTCACTCACTCACTGATGCTCACAATATCAATCACTGGATTGTTTAGTCCAAACTTGATTATTTACAGCCAGGTGTCATATAGCTTGAATAATTCAGAGTGTACTGTTAAACTACAAACAAATCAATATATATCATGGACATATGAAAGCTCCAAAAGTAAGATTGGTTGGTTTGTTTGTTTGTTTGTTTAACGCCGCACTCAGCAATATTCCAGCTATATGACGGTGGTCTGTAAATAATCAAATCTGGACCAGACAATCCAGGGATAGATATCATGTGCATCGATCCACGCAATTAGGATCGATGACATGTATCAACCAAGTCAGCGAGTCTGACCACCCGAAACCGTGAGTCGCCTCTTACGACAACCACAGTCGCCCTTTATGGCAAGCATGGGTTGCTGAAGACCTAATCTACCCCGGATATTCATGAGTCTCCAAAAGTAAGACCGACAAGTCAGACTCAACACACTGCTCACATGGCAGCTTATTCACCAACCTTTGGCAAGAACAAAAAACAAAGTTATAGGGATTTTTAATTTTCTTCTCTCAACCTTTTTCAGTAAATTCATGAGCCAAGCAGTATAGACAGTTTGGCCTTCACCTGTGTCTTGTTCTGTTGCCAGACAACATGCCGAACGCGCTGTGGATCTGGGATGTTCAGAAACTCACACTGTCTGCCGTTCTGGTTCAAGCAGCACCCATCAAGTGTAAGAATATGTTTAAAAAGGGAAACCCATTGGTCTGGGGAAAACTTGTGTCTGGTGGAAACCTGTTGTCTAGGGGAAACCCACTGGTCTGATGGAAAGCCGCTGGTCTGGTGGAAACCTGTTTTGCTTGGTGGAAACCTGTTGGTCTTGGGGAAACGCACTGGTCTGGTGGAAACCTTGTGTTAGTGGGAAACCTGTGTTTGTGGGAAACCTGTGTTTTGGGGGAAAGCTGTGTTTGGGGGAACCCTGTGTTTTTGTAGAAAGCTGTGTTTGGGGGAACCCTGTGTTTGGGGGGAAATGTTTATATCAGTTTGAGGTGCATGGCAGACCCCGTCATCTACAGAACCTCAATTCACTGTACAGAGTCGTGTCCTTTGGGCAGGCCTGAAAACTGTGAGTCATGGTTTGAATCTCGGTCCGACCGGATTATGTTTCTTGGTTTGCCAGCACCATAACCATGCCCTCTGGTGTCACCAAAGTGGTAAACTTCGTAAGCTGCATCACTTCGGGCTTTCCTCCCACATTAAGCTGACACGCCGTGATACTCCTTGTGTACCTATTTATTGTAGATTTCATTGTACGAACAGGTGTGCAGTGGGACAGCAGCCAGACCCGACTAGCTCTGTGTACGTCTACCAACAAGCTGTACATGTGGTCAGCCAGTGGATGCTTGTCTGTGGAGATTCCTGCTGAAGGTAGGTAGACACGGCAGTCAGACCGACTAGCTCTGTGTACGTCTACCAACAAGCTGTACATGTGGTCAGCCAGTGGATGCTTGTCTGTGGAGATTCCTGCTGAAGGTAGGTAGACACGGCAGCCAGACCCGACTAGCTCTGTGTACGTCTACCAACAAGCTGTACATGTGGTCAGCCAGTGGATGCTTGTCTGTGGAGATTCCTGCTGAAGGTAGGTAGACACGGCAGTCAGATCGACTAGCTCTGTGTACGTCTACCAACAAGCTGTACATGTGGTCAGCCAGTGGATGCTTGTCTGTGGAGATTCCTGCTGAAGGTAGGTAGACACGGCAGTCAGACCGACTAGCTCTGTGTACGTCTACCAACAAGCTGTACATGTGGTCAGCCAGTGGATGCTTGTCTGTGGAGATTCCTGCTGAAGGTAGGTAGACACGGCAGTCAGACCGACTAGCTCTGTGTACGTCTACCAACAAGCTGTACATGTGGTCAGCCAGTGGATGCTTGTCTGTGGAGATTCCTGCTGAAGGTAGGTAGACACGGCAGTCAGACCGACTAGCTCTGTGTACGTCTACCAACAAGCTGTACATGTGGTCAGCCAGTGGATGCTTGTCTGTGGAGATTCCTGCTGAAGGTAGGTAGACACGGCAGTCAGACCGACTAGCTCTGTGTACGTCCACCAACAAGCTGTACATGTGGTCAGCCAGTGGATGCTTTTCTGTGGAGATTCCTGCTGAAGGTAGGTAGACACGGCAGTCAGACCGACTAGCTCTGTGTACATCTTCCAACAAGCTGTACATGTGGTTATTAGGAAATCGGAATTGGAATTCCCTACAGCTGATATTTGTACATTAGAATCAATAATCACCTTTTAAGGTGAAAAAGAGAAGTTAATGAATGCTGTCAGTTGATGTTTTGCTTTGTCAGAGTGATGTTTTTATATGCAAGCAAATTCACAAGTAAGCATTAAGCACCTTTGAGATAAGCCTATGTTACGCTGTAACTTTTTGTTGACCGGAACTTGTCAGTCTCATTAAAATCATATCTTAGCTCTCGCTACTGGTAAACAAAGATCTGAGGCCATCCCATTACAGGTCAGAATGACCTTTTATGCTACCAATCACTGCATCGCTCACCAGATCAGGAAAGGACAGTCAAATTGTCGTCTGAAATCGAAGTCGACAGTTTGAAAAAGTGCCGTAAAGCTCAAAGCAGTTCAATGGTCAGTCAAAGTTTGCGAGGTTTTTCTGATGTGACCTGTAATGGGATGTCCTAAGATCTTTGTTCAGTGGAAGTGACAACTAAGATCTGATCTTAACGAGAAGGTGGAACTTGTGAGTATCTGTGTGGTGTTTCAGCCTCGTTCCAGGTGAGCTCCTTACAGTGGCACAAGGAAGGCAAAGCCCTGCTGCTAATGGGGAAGGAACAAATGTGTGTGTGCTTCGTAACCAACGCCAACAACACACACAATGATGAATGATGCAGTTGTCTCCCCTTCTGCAGGCATTAAATGTGATATTTTCGGTGTATATGAAGCCTCAATGTATACGTGATATTCTGTCCTCATCAGCGTTTGTATATTGTAGAATCAAGGTGTATATAGGAGACAGATCTTCTTTGTTTATGGTATATCTTGCATCGTATGTTATTTGTTTTTACAAAAGCCTGATCATACTTGTGATATAAAGTACTTATGCCCAAAAGATGGTCTTATGTTTGACATTCTATATGTAGTGATGCCTTGAAAGCGATATATATCAGCGAGTGAGTGAGTGAGTATTGCATACAACTGAATCATCCATCGTGCACCTGTTCGTTGCCGATGTTTCGGTGGCTGGACACATTGCAGCTTTGGCATATGTCAGTGGCGAATGTCAATATTTTATTGGACTGACATCCAGACATAGCATTCAAATACCAGTTCATGACGGACCCACAATTACATGCACTAAGACACTGGGATGTTCCTGGTTTTGGCACAGTACGGAATGTTGACAGCCCAAAAAACATTTTCCAACAAGACTGGTTTTCATCAGACTGAGCTCTAAATAAATGCTGCTGGTCATGTATAACAAAATTGACAAAAATTCAACTTTAGTCCAGATTAGCTTCACAAGATATTGCTATGAAACCCAGACATTTGCCTGTAACAGCCAACTCATGCTGCAGAGACGACACATCACTTGACTTGGCCAAATAAAGTGATTCTCCGGTTCTTTGCACACGAGTTTCCAAAGTCCTTAATGGTTAATCTTTCATGCCTGCTGCATTTATCAGCGTGTATGTGAAGGTTTGTTTGGTATGTGACAATGGTCTGTAAATAATCAAGTCAAGTCATTTGTTAAAAATCTAAGGATTTTTTTAGTATGACCTAATCTTAGTGAGTGAGTGAGTTGGGTTTAATGACGCTTTTAACAGTATTCCAGTTATATCATGGTGTGTCAGCTTAATGTGGGAGGAAAGCATGAGGTGATGCAGGTCTCAGATGTTAACCACTTTGGTGAAACCCATGGGTATGGTGCTGACGACTTATCTTAGAATTATACACAACAATAACAACCGGTATTGTGTGATAAGTGAGATATTGTCTAAAATGGCATTAAACCCGTCCTCTTTCGTCAGCGCTATGACAGCATGTCCTACTGGTGATCAATACCACCTCACAATCCCGGCTGAAGCTCTATCCCAGGATATCCTGACCAACAACAAACACAATTCTCTATCACAGAATTTACTTGTCAAAACCAGCAAGAATAATTACATGGAGACAAGACCTGGTACCTGAGTGGTAGGAATATACAGATCAAATGAAGCCTTGTAGCATTTCAGAATTTGTAAATTGATCTGGAAACACTGAACAATCAAAAGCAAATACCTAATTCATGACTCCGCTTCACAGCTGCTGGTGACAAATCTATACCACTAAGGGACAGGTTTATGCAACTACAATGTCTTTAAACTGCAGGACAAAATCTGAGTGAATTGGGTTGTGAAGATGACAAATGACAAAAATGTATTCCCAGTTAACGAATTTCCACAGACAATTTTTAGCTGAAATTGATCTATAAATATGTGATTATTCACAACAAAATAAGGAGCAGTACAAATCAATTTGGATAATTGAAAAAAAAAAACCTGACCAAAGCTACTGGCCAGATTTGTCATAAAAAAACCTTTAAAATTAAGAAAACTACTTATCAATTCCAGTCATTCACATCAATCCACACTGACATTAGCAGCCATTGGATAAATGATAATAATAACAAAATCATCATGATAATTTGATTATGCCAAATAAATGATGTTATATATACATAGAAATATAATAAATTATAACAATAATTATAGTACCACTATGATAAGCACTACCAGTGATAATATACACAAACATAATTGTAAAAACGGAAAATCCATCTACAGCCAATTTAGCACAATGGAATCACAAGCTGCCGAATCAATGAAAGACGGCCGATAGATATACAAATACACCTTCCTGTGGCATCTTCAAGGCATACTGTCATGGATTCCTTGAGCAATCTTGTTCAGATTAATATATATTTTTAAACAAAAAATTGTTCACATACCTCAAAATTGACTAATTACTGTCAGTTTTGGCAAAGTTAACAGTGAAGGACAAATGTATACATATCAGCTTTGTAGATAAAAGTTGGCATCTGAGAGTAATCATTAATTTCCCAGAGAACCAGAGAGTTATTTTGCTACTTCATGCTGTGTGTCAATACCCTAACAAAAAGGACAACCTACCAGACCAACTTCATGTCTGCATCTGGGGGGAATAAAATGGGTTTCTAGTCAACAATATCCACGATTACATGCACTACACTATGATTAGACTTGGATTCTGCTTAAGGCAATGAGGTGAGGACATAGCAAAAATACATGCATCAAGAATTTCAAGGGATAGCAAATCTACTGAAATTCAAACTTGGTGATATCTTGAAAAAATAGTTTCCATATAATTTGACAATAACAAAGACCTGGTGTCTGCAATGTGAAATGCATCCCTTAAGTACGCAGTGCATAAAATCTCCATCTACAATTATGACAAGGTTGAGGCCTAAAAGCATTACCTGAACTGCTCGGGACATTATCCTTCAATGACTGCATAATGTGGTTTTGTATCTTTACTTAACTGGTGTGAAGACATCCCTGACCATCCAGTACCATATCTCCGTTCTATCATAAATACTCTGGACCCGTTCACGAACACACCTTCATTGTGAGTCTGGCTCAAATGTCTGCTGCAAACAGATGTCTAATCATGTTGTATTCTTTCCTGATTGAAACAATCGGTGATACACAAGTTTCTAACTTGTCATAAACAGGACCCTCACGAAGAGAAAATGTTTTTCAAACAAAATCAATTAAAGTCTTGTGATTCTTTGTACACCCGTATATTTTAAATATACCAAGGGCTCCCTAAAAACAAGGCCACAGTTTCAATGAATATCTATGCTGAACTTGATATCAGAGCCTTTTGACTTAAATCCCGGCTGGAAAGTTATTTGTCAATGTTCAATGTCCCAGGGTATTTATCCTAATAGAATGGAGATCTAATACACTGGATAATGAGAGATTTGGTGATGAAGACTTCAGTGCATCTTGCATGATATTCAACATTCACACAACAACTGACAATAATACACCCTGGAGACAAACATCAATAACATAGCTTCTACAAGAACCTGCCTTCCAAATGATGCCATCCTCCAGCAAGTACGTCCGCTACGTAATCTGAAACTAACTTCAAACAAAACACACTGAATGAATTAATGAAAGTGAGCAATACAGCTCTCTGGCTTCTATAAAACTGGTCAGGACTTACCAAGTCGTTCTACACTTGATGGAAAATCTTCCTCGATCATAAGTTTTGTTTGGGGAACACAAGTAAGTCTTCCAAAATATCAGATTTCCCGTGTTGGCGAAAGTTTAGTGGGAAATCACAGTCTCTGTAGCACTTCACGTCACTTGACATGCCAGATGACGTCATTAGACATGCCAGATGGACGTCATTAGACATGTCAGATGGACGTCACTAGACATGCCACATGGACGTCATTAGACATGCCAGATCGACATCACTAGACATGTCAGATGACGTCACTAGACATGCCAGGTGATGTCATTAGACATGCCAGATGACGTCATTTGTGTAACAGTTGGTTGTTTGCATCATTCTACATCAAGCTGCCACTATGGACAGTCAAAGTTATTTCCACTGTAGCATATTGTTTTTCCAAGATCAACAATTGACATAAATGAAGCTTTTGCGGACAGTGCCACTTCTGACAAACTGTTGACTGATTTGGACTTGCTTGTGACCAGTCACATCGATGTATTGAAGGCAGAATCAATGGTGTTAAACATCATGAACAATATGTTTTGAAGAAGACGGTTAATGAAAAGAAAGCCAAAGACCATCAAGATCTGACAGTAAGCCTTTCTTGGTGGGCTTGTGGTATGTCTCCTAGCTTCTTCCACTCATTCAATACCAGACCAAAGCCTACTTTAACATGTTCATGTCACGTGTTAACTCAGCGAAACATGACTGATTCTCAGACAATGATATTCGAGTTGGATGCTTCTTCATAGGTGAAAGAAAGTGGTTTAGAAATTTTAGAAATAAATATAACTTGGAGAGTCACTGTCAAACAGTGCATGACAATATTATATTATAAGATTAATATTTGTAAAAATAAAAGCAGATCTGAGAGGGTGAAAGACCCACAGGTATCAAATTTCAAATGCATATCTATTTCCTCCAGCTTCTGTTTCATGTTTGCAATTACGATTTTACCAAGGCAAAAAAATGACGTGGTTTTTGCTCCAAGACAAAAAATTGTCAATATCCATTAAAATCAGCATGGTGTCAAACTGTGGATTTCCTCCAAGATTAATGAGTGAGTGAAGGGTTAAAGCAACTGGGACCAGTGTTTCAGTGAGTGTGTGAGTGAGTTTGGTTTTACGCCGCTTTTAGCAATATTCCAGCAATATCACGGCAGGGGACACCAGAAATGGGCTTCACACATTGTACCCATGTCGGGAATCGAACCCGGGTCTTCGGCGTGGCGTGCGAACGCTTTAACCAGTAGGCTACCCGACCACCCCCCCAGTGTTTCAGTGCTCCCATTTCCTGTTGTCAAAGCATGGGAGGAAGGCAAATAGCAGTCTGCAGACATTTCCCACTCTGGTGCAACTAACGAGCCGGGGTATGGGGTTCACGAAACAAGGATTCCAAAAACATGATTTTGGCTTTAAACCAATGACTAGTATATCCTTATAAGGACAAAACTAAGCACCTTATATCACTTGGCTCCTGTGCTGAAATTTTTTGAAAATTTTAAGAGCAAGAATTCTGCTGCAAGTCCCCCAAATCTGATGACTTAATTCTTTCAATCATCCACATATACAGAATAAATCAAATGGATTAACAATCGGTTTGCTTGAGACATACATTACTGGAACACTTTCGTGTTGGGAAAGGATATTAACATGATTAGTGTTAAATTTGAAAGAAATCTTTAGGACGTTTTGAATAACAATCAGTCATTGCCCTGGAAACCAATCAAGTATGAAATTAAACAAATATATATAAAGGCATGTTTTCTCATTGGCAGAACTTAAAATGCATTCTCTCATAAGGGATGGAGTACATAAATATTAAATAATGTAAACATATATCACCAAATCTTAAAACACAACATCAACATTTCCATTAGATGCAACTTGTCATAATATTACAATATATGCATATTCAAACATCAAAGATATAAAAATACATGCACATCTAATCACAGTGGGTTCTGTAATTCAAAATGAGCTTTTCCTAAATATGCATGCAGGAGTGTTGATGCTTGAAAGTGCAGAGTCTCTTGGAATTATGTTGAGACCAATTCATTTTTATTACTTGTGTTTAAAAATCAGATAATTGTCTTCTCAGAAGCTGACGCCATTCCGATCTCTAAAGAAGCCGAGCCCGCTCTGGTTGTAGACCATGGACGCCACACTTGCGTAACTCTCGATGAGAATGGGCCCTTCGACAATGGTGATCTTCTCGTTTGGACGTTTGACCTGGTACGCCTTGCTGACCGCTTGGACAAGGCTCTCGTAGAAGTCGTCACAGTTGTATGTTGTTGTTTCGTTCTCCTTGGGGTTGTATAGGATGGGGTGGTGGGTGAACGACACCCAGGGAATGTCTGTAGCAAATGGATTCCACTTCTGGCCAAACGTCAAGTCCTGGCCACGGTTCCATCTCAGTTGAATTCCTCCATGTTGTCGGTCACTGAAGCAATCATCATCATCATCATCATCATCATCATCATCATCCACAACAATTCTCTTAAAGATGGGAACATCATTATCATGATAATGGGTAAAATTCTTTTACAGAATGGGTCACTATTGTGACCATTTTAACTGTGATAGTCCATATAATCAGCCAACTATCGCAAGTCCACACACTTCTAAGAACTAAGTTCTATATGAGTTACAGATTGTTGCTTAACATAGCAGCCCCCGATTTTCCAGATTCCAGCTACAGGACGACTGTACACAATCATACCTGGACTCGACAAACTAGTGATTGTTATAATGAGCAACATCCCACACAGAGGAGGATGACAGGATTTTTCTATTCTCAGTCATGATTCAAAACCAATGTTCAACCTTGAAATGTGAACCCATTACTAACCCCCTATATGTCTACAATGGTCAGAGCAAGCCTGACTTACAGACTGGTTGTTACAATATAAAAATAATCACTCTTGAGGTCAGTATGCAAAAACAAGGACCCAACCCCTGAGGTGGTCAGACCACTAAAAGGGTTGGGTCCGAGGGTCCTTGTTTTGACATACTGACATCATCAAAAGTATTCATTCGTTTTGTTACAGTGAAATTCACTTTTAAAGTTGATGAAGCCTTTAAAGCATCCTCTTTCACTACAGTAACTCAGCTGTGAACAGTGAATGGCTAGTACCAGACGCCATCCTGTCTTCTAGCAGACAAAGTCAATATTCATCACGCGACAGGTCAATACTGATCATATGACGAGACAATATTCAAGGTCAGTGTCAGTCACATGATTTGGAGGGCACAATGATGTTTTGCTTCGTCACATGGTACAGATAAAGCAAAGGAATTGCAATTTTTTTTAAAGAGGTACAGTAAACTACGGTTGTAAAGGGACCACTAAATTTAGTTTGTTATAATCATGATAATTAGTTTGTTACACATATACACATATACAGCAAATGGACGGGACCAAAGAACAGTTTGTTATAATTGTAGTTAACAACAGGAATTGAGCTAGGAATTGGCAGTGTTACTGCAGGCAGCAACTCACGGCATGATGGAATGTTCTGGGTACTTGAAGTCCCCGATGCAGATGGTGTCCACACAGTGCAGCATGATGCGCTTGAACTCCAGCAGTTTCTGCGTGATGAAGTTGTACTTGCAGACAATCAGCGAGTGGTCAGTCAGCATCAGAATCTTCTCATGTTCCAAATCCCAGTGATCGATTCTTGAGGTCCAAACAAATAACAGTGTGTAAGAAAACAGGATTCTGAACTGAAAATTGAAACAATTTGTTTCACCTCCAAAACCTATAATGATGATGATGATGATGGGTCTTCGAAGTTCCAAGATTAAAATGATGTTGCAGAAAACATCAAGAATACCTTGACCCTTCTTACTTTCCTACACATTATAGAGACTGAAGACTTGAACTAATCAGTATCACATGTATTGCTGTATCATATTATCATGATTATAAAACATGATGAGATAGAGGTGAGTGGTAGTAACGGCACACCACTATTTGAATTACTAATGAAGATATATCCCAATATGTTTGGAAAAAACAGGTGTATTAAGTTTTTTCCAAATCAGGCATATATCATTTCAATACACAAATCTAACCACTGATATTAGTTCTTGTCTGGACCTGCAGTCTGGTGTTAGTTCTACCACTACACAGATATTACTTCTTGTCTGGACCTGCAGTCTGGTGTTAGTTCTACCACTACACAGATATTAGTTCTTGTCTGGACCTGCAGTCTAGCATCAGTTCTACCACTACACTGATATTAGTTCTTGTCTGGACCTGCAGTCTAGCATCAGTTCTACCACTACACAGATATTAGTTCTTGTCTGGACCTGCAGTCTAGCATCAGTTCTACCACTACACTGATATTAGTTCTTGTCTGGACCTGCAGTCTGGTGTTAGTTCTACCACTACACAGATATTAGTTCTTGTCTGGACCTGCAGTCTAGCATCAGTTCTACCACTACACTGATATTAGTTCTTGTCTGGACCTGCAGTCTGGTGTTAGTTCTACCACTACACAGATATTAGTTTTTGTCTGGACCTGCAGTCTGGTGTTAGTTCTACCACTACATTGATATTAGTTCTTGTCTGGACCTGCAGTCTAGCATCAGTTCTACCACTATACTGATATTAGTTCTTGTCTGGTGTTAGTTCTACCACTACACAGATATTAGTTCTTGTCTGGACCTGCAGTCTGGTGTTAGTTCTACCACTACATTGATATTAGTTCTTGTCTGGACCTGCAGTCTAGAATCAGTTCTACCACCACATTGAAAAAATATTTACCAAATTGTGATAAAATCACAAGAAAGCAAAGGCCACCACCACATTTGTTACCTGGAGTCAACACAATAAATAAACTGCAAGTGTTTCCATAGCATATGATCAGCTGACCAAGCAAATTTCCATAAACCAAAAGAATATGCCACACCCACTAGTGGATTACTGTTTCCTGATTGGCTGATAATGGAATTGTGGGGGCCTGTGCATAACTGCACTGAGCAATGACACTGACTCTGTATAGCTTTCTATGCTGGATTAAGACATGTTGACAGCACAGTTCACAATTTACCACAGTCCCAAATAAGGTAATCAAATTGAACAGCAATGGGCGTGGCTCACCTGGACACATACACACCTGGCCTCCAATAAATTTTGCAACTTCAATATCAGACAAAATCGCAGAAAATACACTTATTCCATTTGTCCTTAAAGCTTTTGATACCACTTTTAAGGAAATCTGCAGATCTCTAACCACGCCTCTGTGGCAGCCTTTATGTCTTCGTCATCCTGGGAGCGTCTTCCACGTAGGGCAGATTGCATTTGCCAGAACAGGAAATAGTCACTGGGGGCTAAGTCTGGGCTGTACAGTTAAATCACCCACCCTACAGCCCAGCCCAGACTTAGCCCCCAGTGACTATTTCCTGTTCCGGCAAATGCAATCTGCCATCTAGGGATTTCTATAAAAGTGGTATTAAAAACTTGAAAGACTTGAAATGGAATAAGTGTATTGAGGTGAATGGAGATTATATTGAAAAAATAAAAGTGCAAAAGATATTCTGCGACTTATATTGAAGTAGCAAAACTTATTGAACGCCCCTTGTATGATGTCATCACAAGGAGAAACACATATGGCCAAAGTTCTGCTCTATCAGTCTGGCTATTTCCGCAATTTAAAGGAGAAGACATTTACAGAGACAAAGACACATTTTGAGAGAATTTAAGAGCATGGTCCAATCGAGGCAAAACTTTATATACATTGGTTGAACTTCATTCTTACTCTGTGAGAAGCCAGCAGCCCAGAAGTTCTCCATCCAGCTCGGGTTTGATCGCTTGCCGACAATGTTCCTGGATCGCTGAGTCAAAATGGGTGCCCTGCACACAACAAATGTAGACCTGTCATTACCATTGACGGCAAAGACAAATTCCTTTCATATTAATCGCAACTCTTACACAATTATAACATCTGTTCTTTAACTTTCTATTCTGTCTATTCTTGCCGACATACTTGCTGACAAATACATAAGTTACATTGAACACAACTTGCCATGGTTACCAGTATACTGCAATACGCTTTTCAAACATTGCATTCTGCATATTGGTTAAGAAATTAATAAGCACTTTTGTCATTTAACAAATGTGGTATTTGGGAAAGTACAAATTCTAGTACATTTTTGGGTTGGACTCAGTCCGAGCAATCTAACCCACTTAGCCATCGAGGCTTCCACAAAACGACAGTCCAACAACTTGTACTTTGAATCCCAGGAAGGACTCAACCCTAAGACAACTGTTGTTTATTTGTTTGTTGTTTAACACCGTACTCAGCAATAATTCAGCTATATAGCTGCGGACTGTAAATAATCGAGTCTGGATCAGATCTTAGTTAGAAAAATCAGATCTCGCTATAGCTAAACAAAGATCTGAGGGCATCCCATTACAGGTCATGCCATAAGGACCTTTCATCCGTCCAATCAAAGTGATGCTTACCAGATCATGAAAGTAACAGTCCAAATGTGTTTTCTAATCATGAAACGTCAAAAACTTTAACACGGGGTATTCCGAACGACAGTTACGGCCCGTAGTCTGATTCCTTCAAAATAATCGCTTTCGTGGGATAAATATTTGAACAGAAGAGGCATTGCACAGTATGTGGGAAGCACTGCTATACAATCTCAACCATATATTGGACATTCCGGAATGATTGTTTGAACTGTGTCAACATATTTTTCAAGCGTAGTCTGAAATGGAAGTCGCCAGGTTGTAACGAGTGCTGTAAAGCTTGAGAAAGCTGCTTTCTAATTGGCTGATACAACTTCTTGTTAGTCATTTCAGTGGTCGGTCAAAGGGCGCGAAAGGTCGTTCTGACATGACCCATAATGGGATATCCCCAAATCTTTGTTTAGCGGCAGCGAGAACTTAGATCTGATTTTAATGACATTGTTATGCGGCTCAAGTGAAAATATTGTTTAACAGAAAATGACAAAGGCAATGCTGCAGACCTAGCTGTGAGAAAGGAAGCTACCATCTCCTGGGATGAAAAGGCAATTTGAGGAGAGAGTGAGAGGGGTACAGATTGACTTAATTCAGTCTTTATTTATTCATTTTCTCGTTGTGATGGGAGGTAGCTGCATTTTGAACAAATAACAAACTTTGGATACTTTGTCAATCTACCACAGTATTTAAATATTGCCACAAAATTGACCTCTGTGTTTGTGGAAACATTCTTTTGTTGTGGCATGTTGTGTGAGTAGTGTACACATTGTATGAACAATGATGAAACGACCTTTGATCTGACATTGTGAAAAATGAACATAACAATTGATATCTGTAACTTTCCTTTTATGTCTAACATTGTGTTAGCATGGTTAGTGTACAATAAACCTATTCCTAACAATGAATGGTGTCTGCAGACACTTACAATTGATCCTGATGCCATTTGGCACACCTGACACGTTCTGTACTGACAAGATACAGAATGGTGATAAAAGATCTGATATGGCGCGAACTGAAAAATGGCTCCAGATGTCAGACGTTGACTTCATGAGTAAGCATGAATGACGGGATATTTCATAATTCGCTGGGTGATCCCATGCATTCACTTGAAACCGAAAACTATCATTTGAAACCAAAAAATATAAGCTATAAACTAGCGCTTACAGTACGCTAATACGCTGCAGTAGCCTATATTTAGCAAACAAATAGTGAAAGCTTCATCACCCCAGCAACTCTGTTGCTAGGCTGGTGTCACAGGGCAATGATTCGCAGATGTATCTTTCAACAAAATTTCACAAATTACATCAGAGGTACTATGAGGTGTTAGTATACTTCAGGGTGCAGACTTCTAAAGGTAGGGGGGCGGTCGGATAGCCTAATGGTTAAAGCGTTCGCTCGTCACGACGAAGACCCCAACATGGGTACAATGCGTGAAGCCCATTTCTGGTGTCCCCCGCCGTGATATTGCTGGAATATTGCTAAAAGCGGCGTAAAACCATACTCACTCACTCTAAAGGTAGGCCCATATCCTTAACAGTAGAATTCCTTTAGCTCTCAGTATTTCTTGACATTTTCGTACTTGTACGGAATTGACATTTCTCAATTCACGTTTCATTCTACATACTAAGTATAATGTCCATTTGATAATGGGCCTAAATGTCAACATTGTCAATGATCGTCAATAATTACCCAGGTTGCCATCTAAATAAAGACGCTTTTACACTCAATTTTGCTTCTCTGATTAATCACAGATTGTTCCTTAGCCGCGTAAAATGCATCAATTCAACACATATTCACACCTTATAACTGAAGAATGTCTTCGCTGACACATCAGACTTGACAACACCTGGCTTCAACGAAGTGCGACTGGATGTTGATCTGATCGACTGACGACCGATTGTGCTTCCGGGACGATTGCGCGACAGCGCAGGTCCAGCGAAGTCGACATCAGCGTCGGGATCTCTTGCTTTGGGGGCAGGGTCTTCTCCATTTAGTTCTAGTGTTGCCCCAACAAACTGTCCTTCTTGGGCAGCCTTCTCGTCATCGAGTTGGACGGGGACGGGGACGGCGTCCTGCGTTGCTGTTTCGGTATTTTCCGCCATTTTGAATGTGGATGACCTCGTGACGTCAGGGTCAACACTTCGTGACATTCCGATTTACTATTCCGTCACCCGGAATAACACGAGTTGGTCACGAAAGAAATCGCCACTTTCCGCACACATTGTAAACATCTCCGGAATATCCCGAACAGGTTCGGAACATTCCTCAAATGATAATAAGTCATGTGCTTCTGCGACAGCATGCAAAAAGAGGATTTCGTAATTACGTTTCAAGGGGAGTCAAAAACGCCTGCTGTTGCGAAATTGTCTATTTTTAGGAATACAGGTCACACCTGGTATCTACACATTTGTCATTGTAGTTTATATTTCTTGGAGCGAAAAAAATCGTATTGAAGTTGGGAACAATACAATCTTTCACGAAAGAAGCTCCAAAATCAATTTTCAAAACGACCAATGAACAAGTTCTGATATTTTAGAGACAGGTTCCCCTTTCTATCCATTTCTCAAAATTGCAGAAGATTTAAATCAAAATTGGATTAGAGGTAAATTTTAAAGGTGAATGCTTGAATAAGCCTAGCTACTTCCTGATTGTGTGGATTTTTTGTTCGCGCCCTGTTCATCCTGTTTGATAGTTTTTCTACAGCCAGTATACTATTCATACGAACTAGGTAAGCTCGTGATTCGGCGTTTTACGAGCTGTTGTTCAGTGATGTTTTCTCCACCAACTGCACGGATGGGTGACGAGACATCCTGTTCCCGGGGTGAGATGTGACTGAAACAAAATTCTCTTAACATCTGTCATGTATTGAATCACTCTGTGACTTCAAAACATGTTCAAGTCCCGGTGACCACGCGCACGTCCTTGTATAAAAGGTGAGGTGAAATTGTGTTTAACGTCGCGTCCAAGATTATTGCACTTATATAGCGACGTGCATGCACGTGTGTGTGTGTGTGTGTGTGTGTGTGGCTGCTTGTGCTAGTCCGGACTCATTCCGATTTATAGTGCTAGCTCACTGAGATACCATGCCGCAGTTTAACATGAATACCCCACTCAGACACAGTATACTGACTCCGAGCCGACCAGTCCTTGTTTTAGTCCCTTAATGCCGAGCGCCAGACAGGGTAACAACAAGTACCATCTTTTAACGTCTTTTGGTATGACGCGGCCGGGGATCGAACACCGGACGCTCTACCACTAGACCACGGAGGCGGTCCCTTGTTTAAAAGTTCATACAACATTCCCAGGATAACAGATAGTTAAAGTCCGGGCTGTAGAATTGATATCCCCCACCAATACATTGTTAGAGACGTATGACTGTTTGTTTGTTGTTATACACCGCACTCAGCAATAATTCCAGCTGTATGACGGCGGTCTGTAATTAAACGAGTCTAGACCAGCAAAACTAGTGACTGACATCATGAGCACCGATCCATGCAATTGGGGTGCAATCCACACAGTCTCCGAGTCTGACCACCTGATCCATTTGGGCGCCGCTTAGGATGCTGCAAGAGGACCTATGTTTAGATTGGGCTCCTGAGTGAGTGAATTTGGTCTGAGGCCGCTGTAAGTAACATTCCAGCATTATAAACATCAAAATTATGTTTCAGACATTGTGCCCACGTCGGAATCGAACCCGGGGCTTCGGCGTGACAAGCTAACGCGCTGTCTACTGGGCTACCCTACCGATCGGTGGCCAGGCCCGATGACTTGATGGCATGTGATTGTATCCCAAAGGCGTGGGACGTTTCTCATAACATCAGTCACTGGATTGTCTGGTTCTGAATCGATTACATATACAGACCGCCATCATGTAGCTGGAATATTGCTGAGTGGGGCGTTTAACAACAACAACAACAACAACAACAACAACAACAAAGAAACATCAGTTCGTGATTCGTCAAACTTCTAAGCATTTTCTTAATTTTTCAGTTCATTTTCCCTAAGAACCCCGATTCTACCCCGTAATAACGTTATAAACAGCGTTACAACGAGGAAGAGGTTTGGTGAGATGGTGATTCAAGATTATTTCATCTCTTGATAGTTTTTAATTAAGATCCGGGATAGAATAGGTCTTCAGCAACCCATGCTTGCTGTAAAATGCGACTATGTTTGTCGTAAGAGGCGACTAACGGAATCGGGTGGTCAGGCTCGCTTACTTGGTTGATGCATGTCATCGTATCCCAATCGCGTGGAACGATACTCATGACATCAATAACTGGATTGTCTGGTCCAGACTCGATTATTCACAGACCGCCATCATATAGCTGGAATATAAACTACAAACAAACAAACAAACAAACAAACAAAGCAGTTGATTACAAACCAATAAACATGTCAAAGCTAGGTAAACTTAGCCCAATCATTCATTCCCAGGCTACCTCACATCAGCACGTACTATTATGTGCGCTGAACATTAGGACAAGCCCATATCCATCATACTACTTGTTGCGGAGCACCCGCTACCCCCTTCTTCACAATGGTACGCGCCGTTAGGCGGACCTCATACAGCTCTACTTACCCTGGCTTACCAGTAGTACAAGCATGCCACACACACACACACACACACACACACACGTGCAAGCACGTCGCTTTATGTCAGTGCAACGATCTTGAATGCCACGTAACCTTACTTGCGACAATGAATATCTTTTTAAGCGCCTGTAAAATATAATACGTGAACCGAGTAAAAGTTTGCACATCCCAAGGCCACAAAGTAATAGATTGATAGTGTGTAAATTGGGGTTTAGGCCGCATTCAGCAACATCACAGCAACATCACAGCAACATCACAGCAACATCACAAACGGGGACACCAGGAACACAGTGTACCCATGGGCGAAATCGTGATGAGCGAACATGACAGCCCCATCACATCTCACTATAGTAATGGAATGAGAGATAAAATCATATCAGTAGTACAGTTATACAAGTAGCACAGTTTTATCAGTAGTACAGTTCTATCAGTAGTACAGTTCTATCAGTAGTACAGTTCTATCAGCAGTACAGTTATATAAGTAGTACAGTTATATAAGTAGTTCAGTTCTATAAGTAGTACAGTTCGATCAGTAGTACAGTTCTATCAGCAGTACAGTTCTATAAGTAGTACAGTTCTATCAGCAGTACAGTTCGATCAGTAGTACAGTTCTATCAGTAGTACAGTTCTATCATCAGTACAGTTCTATCAGTAGTACAGTTCTATCAGCAGTACAGTTCTATAAGTAGTACAGTTCTATCAGTAGTACAGTTCTATCAGCAGTACAGTTCTATAAGTAGTACAGTTCTTTCAGTAGTACAGTTCTATCAGCAGTACAGTTCTATAAGTAGTACAGTTCTATCAGTAGTACAGTTCTATCAGCAGTACAGTTCTATAAGTAGTACAGTTCTATCAGTAGTACAGTTCTATCAGCAGTACAGTTCTATCAGTAGTACAGTTCTATCAGTAGTACAGTTCTATCAGCAGTACAGTTCTATCAGTAGTACAGTTCTATAAGTAGTACAGTTCTATCAGTAGTACAGTTCTATCAGCAGTACAGTTCTATCAGCAGTACAGTTCTATCAGTAGTACAGTTCTATCAGCAGTACAGTTCTATAAGTAGTACAGTTCTATCAGTAGTACAGTTCTATCAGTAGTACAGTTCTATCAGTAGTACAGTTCTATCAGCAGTACAGTTCTATCAGCAGTACAGTTCTATCAGTAGTACAGTTCTATCAGCAGTACAGTTCTATAAGTAGTACAGTTCTATCGGTAGTACAGTTCTATCAGTAGTACAGTTCTATCAGTAGTACAGTTCTATCAGCAGTACAGTTCTATCAGCAGTACAGTTCTATCAGTAGTACAGTTCTATCAGCAGTACAGTTCTATAAGTAGTACAGTTCTATCAGTAGTACAGTTCTATAAGTAGTACAGTTCTATCAGCAGTACAGTTCTATCAGTAGTACAGTTCTATCAGTAGTACAGTTCTATCAGTAGTACAGTTCTATCAATAGTACAGTTCTATCAGCAGTACAGTTCACCTACATATTCAATTATCCAGCGACACAGTGTGCACAGTCTCAGTCTAAATCACTTCACAGTTTCACTTTCCTGTCTCTCACAAATGACCGACATGGCCGAATACATCACAAGATTCTACTGGTAGGAATGTCACAGACCGACATGGCCGAATACATGACAAGATTCCACTGGTAGGAATGTCACAGACCGACATGGCCGAATACATCACAAGATTCTGCTGGTAGGAATGTCACAGACCGACATGGCCGAATACATCACAAGATTCTACTGGTAGGAATGTCACAGACCGACATGGCCGAATACATCACAAGATTTCACTGGTAGGAATGTCACAGACCGACATGGCCGAATACATGACAAGATTCCACTGGTAGGAATGTCACAGACCGACATGGCCGAATACATGACAAGATTCCACTGGTAGGAATGTCACAGACCGACATGGCCGAATACATCACAAGATTCCACTGGTAGGAATGTCACAGACCGACATGGCCGAATACATGACAAGATTCCACTGGTAGGAATGTCACAGACCGACATGGCGGAATACATGACAAGATTCTACTGGTAGGAATGTCACAGACCGACATGGCCGAATACATGACAAGATTCTACTGGTAGGAATGTCACAGACCGACATGGCCGAATACATCACAAGATTCTACTGGTAGGAATGTCACAGACCGACATGGCCGAATACATGACAAGATTTCACTGGTAGGAATGTCACAGACCGACATGGCCGAATACATCACAAGATTTCACTGGTAGGAATGTCACAGACCGACATGGCCGAATACATGACAAGATTCCACTGGTAGGAATGTCACAGACCGACATGGCGGAATACATGACAAGATTTCAATGGTAGGAATGTCACAGACCGACATGGCCGAATACATCACAAGATTCCACTGGTAAGAATGTCACAGACCGACATGGCCGAATACATCACAAGATTCCACTGGTAGGAATGTCACAGACCGACATGGCCGAATACATGACAAGATTCCACTGGTAGGAATGTCACAGACCGACATGGCCGAATACATCACAA